TATCCGATTTTCACGAAGTACGGCTTTTTCTTCATGGTTTTCCCTCTAGATTAATCTGGCATTCAAATCTCGACACCGATTTTTTAGTCGAAATTTAAGTCCAAATCTTACCCCAAGATTCGCATATAGATATGGGTCAAAAATTACCACCCCCATAACTCGGTCAAATCTTATCCGATTTTCACGAAGTACGGCTTTTCCTTTATGGTTTTCCCTTTAGATTATTCTGGCATTCAAATCTCGACACCGATTTTTTAGTCGAAATTCATGTCCAAATCTTACCCAAAGATTCGTATATAGACATGGGTCAAAAATTACCACCTCCATATCTCGGCCAAATCTTATCCGATTTTCACGAAGTTTGGCGTTTTCTTCATGGTTTTCCCTCTAGATTAATCTGGCATTCAAATCTCGACACCGATTTTTTAGTCGAAATTCATGTCCAAATCTTACCCCAAGATTCGTATATAGACATGGGTCAAAACTTACCACCCCCATAACTCGGTCAAATCTCATCCGATTTTCACGAAGTTTGGCGTTTTCTACATGGTTTTCCCTCTAGATTAATCTGGCATTCAAATCTGGACACCGATTTTTTAGTCGAAATTCATGTCCAAATTTTACCCCAAGATTCGTATATAGACATGGGTCAAAACTTACCACCCCCATAACTCGGTCAAATCTCATCCGATTTTCACGAAGTTTGGCGTTTTCTACATGGTTTTCCCTCTAGATTAATCTGGCATTCAAATCTGGACACCGATTTTTTAGTCGAAATTCATGTCCAAATTTTACCCCAAGATTCGTATATAGACATGGGTCAAAACTTACCACCCCCATAACTCGGTCAAATCTCATCCGATTTTCACGAAATTTGGCGTTTTCTTCATGGTTTTCCCTCTAGATTAATCTGGCATTAAAATCTCGACACCGATTTTTTTATCGAAATTCATGTCCAAATCTTACCCCAAGATTCGTATATAGACATGGGTCAAAAATTACCACCCCCATAACTCGGTCAAATCTTTTCCGATTTTCACGAAGTTTGGCGTTTTCTTCATGGTTTTCCCTCTAGATTAATCTGGCATTCAAATATGAACAGCGATTTTTTAGTCGAAATTCATGTCCAAATCTTACCAAGATTCGTATATAGACATGGGTCAAAAATTAGCACCCCCATAACTCGGTCAAATCTCATCCGATTTTTACGAAGTTTGGCGTTTTCTTCATGGTTTTCCCTCTAGATTAATCTGGCATTCAAATCTCGACACTGATTTTTTAGTCGAAATTCATGTCCAAATCTTACCCCAAGATTCGTATATAGACATGGGTCCAAAATTACCACCCCCATAACTCGGTCAAATCTTTTCCGATTTTCACGAAGTTTGGCGTTTTCTTCATGGTTTTCCCTCTATATTAATCTGGCATTCAAATATGAACAGCGATTTTTTAGTCGAAATTCATGTCCAAATCTTACCCCAAGATTCGTATATAGACATGGGTCAAAACTTACCACCCCCATAACTCGGTCAAATCTCATCCGATTTTCACGAAGTTTGGCGTTTTCTTCATGGTTTTCCCTCTAGATTAATCTGGCATTCAAATCTCGACACTGATTTTTTAGTCGAAATTCATGTCCAAATCTTACCCCAAGATTCGTATATAGACATGGGTCCAAAATTACCACCCCCATAACTCGGTCAAATCTTTTCCGATTTTCACGAAGTTTGGCGTTTTCTTCATGGTTTTCCCTCTATATTAATCTGGCATTCAAATATGAACAGCGATTTTTTAGTCGAAATTCATGTCCAAAATTTACCCCAAGATTCGTATATAGACATGGGTCAAAAATTACCACCCCCATAACTCGGTCAAATCTTATCCGATTTTCACGAAGTTTGGCCTTTTCTTCATGGTTTTCCCTCTAGATTAATCTGGCATTCAAATCTGAACACCGATTTTTAGTCGAAATTTAAGTCCAAATCTTACCCCAAGATTCGTATATAGACATGGGTCAAAAATTACCACCCCCATAACTCGGTCAAATCTTATCCGATTTTCACGAAGTTTGGCCTTTTCTTCATGGTTTTCCCTCTAGATTAATCTGGCATTCAAATCTCGACACCGATTTTTTAGTCGAAATTCATGTCCAAATCTTACCAAGATTCGTATATAGACATGGGTCAAAAATTAGCACCCCCATAACTCGGTCAAATCTCATCCGATTTTTACGAAGTTTGGCCTTTTCTTCATGGTTTTCCCTCTAGATTAATCTGGCATTCAAATCTGAACACCGATTTTTTAGTCGAAATTTAAGTCCAAATCTTACCCCAAGATTCGTATATAGACATGGGTCAAAAATTACCACCCCCATAACTCGGCCAAATCTTATCCGATTTTCACGAAGTACGGCTTTTTCTTCATGGTTTTCCCTCTAGATTAATCTGGCATTCAAATCTCGACACCGATTTTTTAGTCGAAATTCATGTCCAAATCTTACCCCAAGATTCGTATATAGCCATGGGTCAAAAATTACCACCTCCATATCTCGGCCAAATCTTATCCGATTTTCACGAAGTTTGGCTTTTTCTTCATGGTTTTCCCTCTAGATTAATCTGGCATTCAAATCTGAACACCGATTTTTTAGTCGAAATTTAAGTCCAAATCTTACCCCAAGATTCGTATATAGACATGGGTCAAAAATTACCTTCCCCATAACTCGGTCAAATCTTATCCGATTTTCACGAAGTTTGGCGTTTTCTTCATGGTTTTCCCTCTAGATTAATCTGGCATTCAAATCTCGACACCGATTTTTAGTCGAAATTTATGTCCAAATCTTACCCCAAGATTCGTATATAGACATGGGTCAAAACTTACCACCCCCATAACTCGGTCAAATCTCATCCGATTTTTACGAAGTTTGGCGTTTTCTTCATGGTTTTCCCTCTAGATTAATCTGGCATTCAAATCTCGACACCGATTTTTTAGTCGAAATTCATGTCCAAATTTTACCCCAAGATTCGTATATAGACATGGGTCAAAAATTACCTTCCCCATAACTCGGTCAAATCTTATCCGATTTTCACGAATTTTGCCTTTTTCTTCATGGTTTTCCCTCTAGATTAATCTGGCATTCAAATCTGAACACCGATTTTTAGTCGAAATTTATGTCCAAATCTTACCCCAAGATTCGTATATAGACATGGGTCAAAAATTACCTTCCCCATAACTCGGTCAAATCTCATCCGATTTTTACGAAGTTTGGCGTTTTCTACATGGTTTTCCCTCTAGATTAATCTGGCATTCAAATCTGAACACCGATTTTTTAATCGAAATTCATGTCCAAATCTTACCCCAAGATTCGTATATAGACATGGGTCAAAACTTACCACCCCCATAACTCGGTCAAATCTCATCCGATTTTCACGAAGTTTGGCGTTTTCTTCATGGTTTTCCCTCTAGATTAATCTGGCATTCAAATCTCGACACCGATTTTTTAGTCGAAATTCATGTCCAAATTTTACCCCAAGATTCGTATACAGACATGGGTCAAAAATTACCACCCCCATAACTCGGCCAAATCTTATCCGATTTTCACGAAGTACGGCTTTTTCTTCATGGTTTTCCCTCTAGATTAATCTGGCATTCAAATCTCGACACCGATTTTTTAGTCGAAATTTAAGTCCAAATCTTACCCCAAGATTCGCATATAGATATGGGTCAAAAATTACCACCCCCATAACTCGGTCAAATCTTATCCGATTTTCACGAAGTACGGCTTTTTCTTCATCGTTTTCCCTCTAGATTAATCTGGCATTCAAATCTCGACACCGATTTTTTAGTCGAAATTCATGTCCAAATCTTACCCCAAGATTCGTGTATAGACATGGGTCAAAATTTACCACCCCCATATCTCGGCCAAATCTCATCCGATTTTCACGAAGTTTGGCTTTTAATAGCCTGAACCCATTAAAAATGGGTATAAGGCTATATTGTATATGTGCGAAAGCCAAATATATGTAACAGGCAGAAGGAAGCAACTCCGACCCCATAAAGTATATATATTCTTGATCAGCATAAATAGCTGAGTCGATCTAGCCATGTCCGTCTGTCTGTCCGTTCGTCCGTCTGTCCGTATGTATGAACGGAAGGATCTCAGAACCTATAAGAGCTAGAGACTTGAAATTTTAGATGTAGATGCTCCTAGCTCCCTCGCAAATCGAGTTTGTTTCCGATAATCGATAACTTACTCCGTTTCCAAGCAATCGATAAAAATCGATATCGATATCCTGTTTTTTGGGCAATTTTGGTAAATAATAAGAACTAGAGTCACTATATAGCTTCAAAAATAGAATATATATATGCATTTGATGTTGGAAGAAGAGGGTTCAGGGTATCCCCTAGTCGGGAGCTCCCGACTATAACCTCTTGTTTATTCTTGAAAAGAACTCTCTCGTGTAACTCTGACTTATGAAACGCTTACAGCACAGAACTATATATGGAGATATTATTAAGCTAAGAGACTAGTTTGGATATAATGATAGCCGGGTAGTCGTAAATAATTTTGACCATTCATTCATATTAATTCTCGAGGAATTTTAAAATTTCAATTATTTTAAGACAATGTTTGCTCAGAGTTAACTTTATAGCATTTGCTAATTTACGAAATTCCGATGGCTGTTTGTTTCAGTTTTAGTTCTTATATTATGTTTCAAACCCGAGGCATAAGAACCTTTTATAAAATTATTCCTTCTAGGCAGATATTTATAACTATATTTTTCTTCCACTTTTCTAAGGTTTTCATTTAATCTATGGATCTAGGGATCTAAGTCAAATCCACTTACATGCATACATTTTTAAAGCTTTTAAATGCTTGAAATTATTATATTATATTAATTTCAATAAATTCTTTAGGTTATTTTCTATTAAAAATATTTTTTTTGGCAGCATCCACATTTCGATTCGGGCTCTTTCTGTTTTTTTCATATAATTTTTTATTTTCAATAAATTAATATCATTTTTTACTTACGACAAATACATAAATAATTTGATTCATTTGCAAACATAGAAATTGACTAAATTGTAACTGCGATTAACTAAGTTTGATTTTTAGTTTGATTTGGTTTTCTTTTAGTTCTTTCCTGCTTGTAGTATGTATAGTACATGAATTAGTAATGAAAAATTATATACAGTATTCGTATGGTACTGAATGGACACTATTTCCCCGTTGCCTTCTCCTCCAGCTGGGCCTGTATGTGCCGGACATTCTGACCGCCGCTGCTGTGGCCGTGGCGCTGGAAGAAGGCATTGATGGAGCTCATGGAGCGGTATTCGAGATTATCGCTGACATGCCAATCGACGCTGATGCTCTGATGTCTGCCCACGGGATTGCGTATCTTTGTCTCATTGTATTTCTCTAGCAGATGCAGCAGGCAATCCTTTGTCGTATTGGCCGCCTCCTCCAGATTAACCGTTTGATGCGTATCCGGCAGGCCAACGGGCACATCGCGACTCATCTGATTGATACGGAACTTGGCGCGTCGACTGCTCGCCGACTCCGAGAAGACATGGTTGCCGCTGTTGCTGCTGCTAGAGCTGAACTTGGAGCTGCTTGTGCTGGTCCTTTGCACGTGGCTCTTCGTATTGGCCGTGCTCATGGTGCTCACTGTGGACTGGCTGCGCAGCTGCTGCGACTGCTGCGACTTGGACCAGCTGTTGTCGCTCTTGCCATTGCTCAGCTTGGGCGTCTCCTCAATGGACTGCTGCAGGCGCACGGACAGGGAGCTAACCTTCTTCTGGTGGCCATCATTGGAGCGCGTTTGAGTCTGGTGGCTGCTGGTGCTGCTGGCGCTGTGCAGCTGGCCACGCGGCGTTGCTCGGCTGGCGCTGGCGCTGTTGCGCGTGCTGCTTATCCACTTGTTGCCCTCCTGCGTGAAGGTGCTCTCCTTGGCCGCATTATTGTTGCTATCGCCCAGCTTGGTATTGATCTCGGCGAGCATTAGCAGATGATCGGATAGCTTGCGTATCTCATCCGCCAGATTGACGCGCTCCCCGGAGCTGCGCCGTCCCAGCAAATAGGTCGTGTCCGAGTTGCGACGATCGAATGTGTGCAAATAGCTTTTCATGCTGCGCTGCTGCTGGGCGCTGCTTTCGCTGCCGGAGAACTCATCAAAGTTCTCATTGAACAGATGCTGCGGCGTGGGCGTGGCACAGCCCGAAGCACTGGCCGTCGCCGGGAACAACTTCTCGCGGGATTCGTTGATGGGCGTGGTGGCCACCGAATGGGGACTGTCCGCGCTGCGTCGTTCCTCCTCAAATGCCGCCGCCGCCTGCCTCTCATACTCCTGCTCATCGTCCGTCAGCGTTGCTATCGATTCACACGGTGAGGGTGAGCACACTGCAAAGGCATGGGAAGAGATTTCAGTTCCATGGAGCAATTCACAATGGAGGATACAGACAGATTAGGTTTGTTCTGGGAAGGGTTAGGTTTTAATTGTAATTATCAAAGTGGTATCGGAAACATAGAGACACATATATACACAAGATTAGAGCATGCTTATGAGACGGACAGCCCAGTTGATTAGCGCCAACAGAGAAGTTAGTAATGGATCGTAACAGCTAGCCCTGACAGACAACATATGTGCACAAAACATACTTGAAGTGAAAATGAGCTGTTTTTTATGCTTTGAGTCCTCAGTACAAAGAAATTATTCAATCTCCGCAATAGACAACTTTTTAAGATTTTCTTTCCTGATTTAATTAATATTTGAACTATATTTATTGTGGTTCTTTGCCTTTTAATTAGTTCTTTAAGTTATTAAACATAATTAGTTAGAAGTTTCAATTGAGTAGTTGGATTGTTAATCGGTAAAAATTGTTTAATAAATATTTTTATGCAGAATTTACATAAGTAGTTGAAAAAGTAAGTTATGTACAATTAAATTACATTTAATTTACCAAAATTATAAATGTAATTTAATTATTTGTCATACTCATATCAGAATTTACAAAAGTATTTGAAGAATTAATTTTATTAACTAAATATTATGCATAATGTGCAATTAAATTTCTTTAAATTAAAAATTAAATTTAGTTATTTATCATTATCATACCAAAAAGTAATTAATTAATTAAGGAAATGTATGCACAATTAAATTACATCAAATTCATAAAAATTATAAATGTAATTTAATTATTTATCATTATCATACTATCATATTTTTTAAAGTAATTATTTTTATTTTTATCCATTTTTAATTACTCTTGGTCAGCAGGTTAACAACAATTTTTAATGACTGCGGTTGTTATTTAATTCAAAAATTTATAAAAATAATAATGCTACATTATGCTACAAATCTTTCTTGAATTTTTTGATTAAACTTTACTAAAATATATAGAAAAGTAAAGAAACACAAAAAGTGAATAGTATTCGATCTTAAAGTAGTTTTTTCAGAAAATTAAAAATAAATTAAATAATAAACTTTAAATTTTTTTTAAGATTTTTTTTTTATAATTTCTTATTCGTAATGGATCACAACATAAATAAGCTTCATGTTTTATGAACGACATCCGTTGAGATGAAATGAAACTTCGACAAACTTTGTAATTTGGCTGCAGTTTTGATCGATAAATTTTCTCTTTATTTGATCGATAATGGAGCTTACCTTGTCCGGTAGTTTTGAAACTGTGGCTAGGTGTTGAGCTAAACTTGAACTAGGTTAGGATAATGTCTTATTTTGTTTTATATTTTTTATCTTGGAATGTTTTCGTTTGGATAGAGTTGTGACTAATGTATTTGAAAGAAGGTTTGTAGTATTTGAATTTGAAGTAAGTATATTTTGGTATTACTCTTGTCATTGGCTGTCTTTATCACAGTGTCGAAACGCTAAGCAACTTATAAGTATAACTAGGCAATTTGGTTAATAGAGGTGGCATCCGCTACAAGGATGCGCTTAAAGCTACGGTTACTTAAAATATAAACCAACAACGTTTATGCAAATACTCAAAATTTGCTGCTGTTGTTGTTGTTGTTGCTGACATGCCTTCTTTCTTCCACACACAACATAATTACAATAGCTCATTTAAAGCTTATGTTAACACAAAACATTAAAAGTTGAAAAATTTAATATATATGAAGAAAAAGAATGAGAGAGCGCATGAGAGTTAAAGACCGCACTGAAGCGTGCCCTTCTTCGCGCTTCTCATTGAGCTAACTTGGTGTACATTCAAGTTAAGAGAGAACAACAATTAGTTGGTCGTTTTCTGTTTGTTTGTTTGTTGGTTTTCAAGTTAATTATGTAATTTACAAATTGGTTGTGATTTGCGTCGCCCCCGCTCATTTGCCATGGATGAGCGCATGCCGGTCGCGCTGCCGCTGGGAGCCACCGTTGCGGCAGTACTCACCTCGGGATGAGGAGATGCTGTCCTGGCCATGGGGTCGTCGCGGATGCGTGTAACTAGTCTCATTTAATGGCGCTATCACATTGCCCTCGACGTCAAAGACGTACGGGCTATTCGGATGCGTCTCCCAGCGCACTATGAAATTCTTTAAATTATCCTTCGTGGCATCTAGCTCTTTGTTCTGTTGGGAATTGGGCAGCACAGAATTTTATAATAGTTGTTGGTCTATTTTCCTAGCTTCTGCTTACCTCTAGCTCATGTGTGTTGCACAGCTGCGCCAGCTCTTCGCTTTCCTCGTCCTGTTCCGTCGCCTCGTCCTCGTCATCATCCGCATCTTCAATTGTTTCCGTTGAATCCTCCGAAGACTCCGAGGCTAGCGGTGTGGGCGACTCCGACTTCAGGCGCGTCTTGCTGCTCACTGTGGCGCTCTTGGTTACTTTTGGTGTTCCAGCTGCTGTTGCTTGTTTTGTGGGCGTGGCAGCGGGATGTTGTTGCAGCCATTTGTGCTTAACACAATCGGCGGCTGTCATGCGGGTGCTGTGGGGCATTTGGTTGATTAAAAGGGCCGCTAAGGCTCTGCGGGAGGGCTGCTGGCCCGGTTATGGCTAGACACTAATTAAGAAAACGCACCTCAAGTCCTTAACAAGGAGCTTCGCTATGAAATCCAGGCACTCCGGGGATATGCCATTAAAGCATTCATCCTCGAAATCGTATTTTGCAATGGTTACATTTGACATTGTTTCAATGTCGTTCTCGCCCATGAACGGCGACAGACCAGAAATGCTGTTCTTGTTGTTGTTGTTGTTTCACCATGTGTGTGTGTGTGTGGCAAAGTCAATAAACATGAAATGTAAAAGCAGCGCACACAAAATAAATAAATACATAAAAAAAACACACAGCAGCGTTTAATTAACTAAATTAAATTGGCGCCGAGCGAGTGCTGTTTAGTTTTTCCTTAGCAGCGCGGGCGGTGGGTGGGGGCGTGTTTGAAACACCTTCCTTACCATTGCTAAGACTTTGATTATTCAATTCAAGATTGCCGCAATTTTCACAGATTTTTAATTAGTTTGTTCTGCTCACTGCGGCAGCCCCAACCCCAAGCCCAACGACCAAGCGCTAGCGCAAGCTTTGATTAAATTTTCAAGTGTCATTTTATTGAAAACACTGCGCAACAAAATTTTGAAAAAAAAATTATATATATTCTGCCTATCAATTTTTGAATATTTGGTTTTTCATTCGTGATTATTAAACAGTGAAAATTAAATGTCTTTATTTGGCTAAAGCCAAGGAAAAAATTTAATCAAATTTGTGCAGCGAAAAAATCATATTTATACTCATATATTAAGTTTATCTTAAATAAATTTTAAAAAATGTACAAAAAAAATAAATCCCTTATTATAGAAGAAATACTTGTTGTGTAGTGTAACTGACTTTAATAAAATATATTTCGGCCACAAAATACTTACAGCACATAGCAGATGACACCAACGCTCCACATATCGGTGCCATAGGAGATGCAGTCAAAGTTAACAACTTCGGGCGCCACAAACTCAGGTGTGCCAAAGAGCACCTGGAAGGGAGTCAGTCAACATGCGTACCCCAATATAATTGAGAACTTGTAACTTACCCTCAGACGCTTGTCTGGATCAAATTTGCGTGCCAGTCCAAAGTCAATGATCTTAATGCGATTGCCCTTTTGGGTTAGCACCAGAATATTCTCGGGCTTTAGATCCAGATGGATAATACCATTGCCGTGTATAAACGCCATGGCCTCGCACACCTGACGTATAAAGACACGACACACGCGTTCCGTGAGCACGAATTCATCGTCCACAACACGATCAAAGAGTTCGCCGCCCTCAATACTGTCAAGTTAATAAAATCAAATAATATTTTGAGTTGATCGAATGCAGAAAAGATACTTATAAAAAAGCAACATCGAACATATACGAAAAGCATGCCAGCTAAAGCCAAGACAACAGTTAATGCCAAAACAAAACTATGACCCACTTAGTGCTAATTTTAATCCATTGGCTTACCTGCCCCGACTACCCACTTTAAAACTACATATGTTATTTACAAGAGCAAGGCATTGTTTGACATAACACGAAAATCAGATAATACATGAACATCAACCTATGTGGAGGAAGAAAAGCGCAGCAACTGAACTGCAAAGCATTAGCTTTATAAATTTAATAAAATTTATAAACCAAATGCCTTACAAGAGAATAAAACTTTTAAGTATGCCTAAGTTTCATTTCCCTATATAAGGCAGTTTATGCGCTTTACTTTTTAATGCTTGAACATGTCTACTAAAAATACCTGATTACCTGATATCTTTTGCTTGTTTGTAATTTAATATAACATTTTAACTGAAATACGAGAGACTTGGATATATTTTATACTTAATAGTATTTGAATATGGGCTCTCAGAAAGTTCTGCATAGGTTTACTTGCAAAAGTCAAAAATTAGTATAACAAATTCGAGCAGTTGAAGATAAATGTATCTGCTGCCTCAATTTGCTCCCTCATAGCTGCTTGCTATGAAACTTCGCTGTAAATATTGACACCAATAAAGCACATTTTAGCAGAAAAGCAAATAAATACCTTTAAAGTGAAACTATTCATTTAGTGTTTTCTACAAAGCGGAATTCTATGCAACTTTACTTTAAAAATGCAGAAGTTAACTGTAAGACATATCGAATAAGATTATAAATAATTATATATTTATCGAGACATCTGTCGCATGTTTGTGTCAAAAAAAGTTATTTCAAAATCTTCGTATATTTATCTGTTGGTTTAATTGGGCGCTCTCATAGCTGCTTGTTATGAAACTTCACTGTAAATATTTATACGAATAAAGCACATTTAATAGCCAAATATCACATAAATACTTTAAAGACAACTATTTGATTAACTTAAAGCTGCTGAATTAGCTTTATTTATTGATCCCATTATATTTCATCTAAAAAAGAACAGTTGCATAAGGGAATCGGCTTATGTGATATTATTTAAGCATTTTATCAGCTGCATTTCCCATATGCGGTAATCGATGTGACTTATGTGCCCGATGCAGCTGCAGATTACAACTTTTGTCAGTTGACATGAAATATATTTACAAAGCAAAAGGACTACGGCAATTCCAACAGTCCAAATAAATATTATTGTGTGTGTGTGGAATAAAATGCAATTTTCATTAGAATAGCAAATGGACAATTTTTGAAAACGAGCTTGCAGCTTGTCAACGAATTCTGTCTTGGCAAAAATATGTTTGCTGCATTTTATGAATATGCAAAACGAGACAACTTTTGCAAGTAAACAATTAAGGCAAGGAAAACAAAAACAACGCCAACAATGCAGATTGTCAGCATTGTTGTTGAGTGTAGTTAGAGCACAACCAACTCTTAGCCATGAAAATTAATTTAAAAAGTAAAAAGTCGAGTGAGCTAGACAAAAGAGTCGTAACTTTATTGTTCCTGGCCAGCAAGTGTTGCGTTTCATTTCTGCGGCGCTACCGAAATATGGGTCAAGGTCATGGCCTAATCGTTGCGCCGTTACCTGGCTCAAACGCTTTTATGGCACAAAGACAATGGCCACGTTTTGGGCCAGATTGTTCCCTTTTTATTAAGTGTCAACACCAGATATAATAAGAAAGAACGGCTATTTGCGGCACGTCGAAGATTAAATACTCCTTAATGCCATACGGTTTTGCAGATATTTGAAAAGAATATATAAATCGGAAAACAGAAAAGTTTTCTATTCAAAAACTTATTTATTGTCCGATTCTTTCTATGTGATATGGTAGTCCGATAATGTTCAGATTGTGCTGGCGTATAAGGAGAATGGTAAATCTCGTCGTGTTAAGCTTGGTCAAGATCTTTGGAGATACAACAAAGTTGTTCATGCAAGAACTAAATTTTCGACCGATTCTTTCTATAGCGAAGGATTCTTTCTAAATAATATAATTGTCCGATTCCTAAATATGTACTGTCTGCAACAAAGAGACGGATCTATGCAAGGTTTTATGACGATTGCTTTAGGTCAGAGGGACTAGCTTGAATCTAAACATGGCTCTTTATACTGATTAAGAATATATATATAACATAATTAATAGGATTGGAGATGTCTCCTGCTATGCGTTACACAATTCATGATCAAGTTACAATACTCTATAGGGTATAAGAAATACATTTCTAGAAGTAGGAAGTACGATAACCTGTTGCTGAAGGTTTTCTTTCTGAGTGTAGTCAAAAAATAAAATAAGGAAAACTTTTATAGTTTTGCGTTGTGTGTGCGTGTTTGTGTGCGTGTGTGAGTGTGAGTGGAAGAACTTTACTACTTTACGATAATGTGCGTACGTGTAAATCGTATTTTATGCACATTTCCCGCTGATTGCAAGATATTGTGTTCCACAACAATGTAACAACAACAATAGAATAGAGCATTCAACAAAAAGACCAACAAAAGTTATGAAAATGTTGTCAAAGTAGTTCGGCAAGGACAACAAAACACACACGCACACACACACACACACACACACACAGACACAAGTCCCAACACAACAAAAACAAATACAAGCGAAATCAACATGTTTGCTACATGGATAGATAATTTCTACTACATATATAAATATATATATATTATATATGTGTGTGGGTTCGTTCAGCCTTACAGTTCCAGGACGACGCACATCATTTTCTGATATTCGTATGCAGCATACAATTGTATAATGAGATGATGTTGCAATGAATTCATAATCTCCACTTCACGCTCCACATTCCGCTTGTCCTCGCGTTTTGGTATGGGCACAAATTTCGCTGCCAATTGTATTCCACTCTTCTTGTCCCTGCACTTGTACACTGTGCCGAATTTACCACTGAGAATTGGATATCGTATGATTAGCATTTCATGCATCCGAACGAAAAGTGTGTTAGGTTGAATGTTTTTTTTTGGTAGTACTTACCGTCCCACCTCGCCGAGCACGTCGTACAATTTATGCGCGTCCACATTCCGATTTATGGTCACATCGCGCATTGGAAAAGCGGCCTCCAGAACTGCAAGAAATACGGTGAGAGTAGTTATTAATAAATAATAAATATGGCTTCAGACAATGTTCAAGTACGAAACGTGAATATAAACTTCTTGCGAGTTAATCCAGAACTGTTTACACATATTCCGTTTATTGCTTCTTACTGTTGTTTCCAGAAGTGTTTTCTCATTGTACTTAAAGAAAGCTTTTCTATCCACTTCACGTTTCATTTTGTTAGTAACTAAAAGCTTAACTGAACTCTTCAATTTGTTGATTGGCATCCTTTGTTACGCCTTGCACCACAAAGCAATGATCCCTCTCACTTCACCAAGATTCTGAAGAAGTTACTTTAACCTTTATTCAATATCGATTGCTATTTTCCTAGCATTTTTTTTGCTCTTTCAGAAGTATGTTTTTCTTATTTCTTTCTGCATGACCTCTCTATTCGCTTCTCACACAGTGATTTGCGACAAAAAGTCAGTCGCACAAGGCATAAACCTAAATGCGAACCACTTGCAGCATACTCCAACATATTCGACTACTTCGAGCGTCTCTTGAAATATGGCATTCAATCATTTTCATTGTGCGCCGATACGAATTGCATTTAATATCGGGTATTATGGCCTCCTCGGCTCCCTCAACCACCCGGCAACAGTTTCTGCTTGTCACATATTTCGCAACATATTGCAGACAATTTGTTGTGGTATTTTTTGTGCTATTTTCTTGTTATTGTTATTTTTTTTCTTATTCAAAAGGAAACCCTTTTCAAAATTCATTTGTTGTTGTCGTTGTTGTTTCTACAAGTTGCCAAACAAATAAAAATGACTTCATTGAATTGAATTCTACTGCCAAGGGACACACCAATGAGCACAACCGCAAGCGAGGACGACGACAACGATGACTTACTGAAAATATTGTGTGTGCTCACAGTCACACACAGACACACACACACATGCCCAAGCATATGTAGTAGGTGTGCCAATCGTGGACATAAACGTTATTTTTTCATATACCCTATACCCCAAGGGGTACCGTGAATTTGTTTAAGGGACAATGGTTTGCAACATCCTACAAAAAAATCATTTCATATTTCAAGTTTTAAGCATATATTAAAAATCAAAATAGTATGTATTATATACCCATTATATCAAAGATTTTATAAAGAATATTAAAAAAATAAATAAAATTGTATACTCTATCAGCTCCATGCAGAGTATCTGCTGTTCAGACACACCCAGTTGTGAGCTGTGCAGCTTGTTTTCCTATATTTCCTTTTAATATTTTTCCATTAAGCGTAAGCAGTTCAAATTGACATTTGGTCGCACCGAAGCCCCATCGAGATTTGTCCAAAATCTTGAAAAGAAATCAACTAGAATTTGCAATTTAAATTATTGATAAACTCTCTCCAAATCTGCTCCTGTCTCCTCTCTCCCTTTAGCTCTGTCTAGCGTATAGTTTGTTTTAAGCCTTTGCGTTGCACTCATAAACGCTGTCAGCTGGAAGACTTTGGGTGCCGTTTGCTCTATTAATATGCAAATGGCGCATATAAGTATGCTACGAAAAGCACGATAAATCTTTAAAATCAAAGGCAAGCCCATAACGGCATATGGATGAGTGTGTACGAATATGTGTGAGTGTGTGTGAGGATGTGTGACTGTTGGTGTAATTTCTAGTGTGTGTGAAACGAAGCGTAAGGTGCGCTCGCGGGGTTGCATCTTGCGGAAAAACTTGGCAAATTCAAAGTGAAAGTTGAATAGAGGCATGTGCAGCATATTCCAGTGTGTGTCTATGTGTTTTTGAATGTGTATGTGTGTGTGTGTGAACTGCTATTTGTGTGCAGTGAGGCACTTGTGCGTGTGCAGCGATTGCAGCAACTTGACGCCGTCTCACACACTGCTATCTCTTGCTCTAAGGCTGTGTGTGTATATCTGTGTGTGCTCCCTAAACGGCTTTTTGGCGCAAAGTGTATGCATGTTTGCTGCAGTTTCTGAGTGTGTGTGTGTGTGTGTGCGTCTTTTGAGTGCACTTTGCCAATAATGCGCACAATTTAAGTTTGAGCAAACACGCCAATTCGAATCGCAGCAACCCCATTCTCGTTAGATCCCAGCGACATATTCAATTGGAATACGAAACTTGGGCAAAACTTCAGGTGATCACAAAAATAGAACTTTTTTTTTGCTCACATAATTTATGGCCAAATCAAATATTTTCATAAATTGCATGCGTGTCAGACAAAACACACAGACATCCTTTATGCGCCATAGCAGTTTTATATACAGACACACGCACACGCACGTACATTGACGCGCTAGCTAACACGTTCATTTCCGGTTTTGAACTCATGAATAAATGAATTTATATCGACTCTGCTTGGTAGTTGAACTGCGGCACATACTTTCCAGCGCTTAGACCGCCATATACCTATACCTTTGCAGTATAATCTGTCCCCTACTTTTGCAGCATCTCCTCTCATCTGCTCCCCCTGGTTTTTATGCTCACGTTGCTGTGATTGTGTCTGCTGTTGCAGTTTTGGCCCTGGCTTAGCTTCGACCCGTTTGTGCCTCACGAATTGAATTGGATTTGGTTCGAATGTTATGCTGCTTAACGTAGAGCCTCGTGTCTGGCCATCGAGCACACAAATGCGCTTATAAGCGCAGCCAAATAGAGTCGAGAGGAGTCTTATTAGGTGCACGGCATATGCTATTGAGCTGTCTGCTGGCTAAGCCTATGAATAAACAAGTGGGTTTTTCTCGCATGAACTTAAGTCCAACAAATATCTGAAGCCCAATTCATAAAGATAAACTTCTATATTCATGCGGGATAGCGAAGTGCATAAATTTGTGTTGTTCTGCTCATAAAAAGGTGTGTGAACTGCACAATTTAATTTTTGCTGCTAAGCAGTTGAGAAATGTGCTTAAAAGAGGTTTAATCGAGGATTTCAAATAGATGTTAAGGGATTTAAAAATATGTTTCAAAACTGATAGCGTGCAAAGTATTTCAAATGAGCTGCTGAAATTAAGTATCAGAACTCAAAGTGCAATAAAAGAAATTATTTATTTATTAAACATCCACGAAAATTTAAACAAAATTAATTCTAAGGTAAAAAGTTAGCTTTAAAGACTTCAGTTATTAAAAAAAAGGTTCCAATTAATTATGCTACTTAAATATTCTGGCTTAAATATAAGCTCAAATATATGTTGCCCTTTTTAATGCAGAGTACATTTTTTTTAAGGAACAACTTTGTCGACTGCAACTGCAAATACTCCACACAAAAATCCCAACTAATTTAATTATTGCGAACACTTAACAAATGCTGCCACCGAAATCATTTAATGTGATGTACTACGGCACCTTAGAGCCCGACCACGCCCACATCGTGCAGGATTGTGTGAACGTCAAATGGTACTGATAAAATGCCACTCGTTGCAATTTCAATCTACAAAAACTTTGAAAAGTTAATTTATGCACAATATCAAAAGCGCATTTGAGAGGGCGATTGTAAAATGCCAAAAGAATAGATTGAGGGTGAGATGCAGTGTGGTTGTGCGGGGAGGGGCAGGTCGGTTAGGGCGTGGAATTAAATGCGAATATATATGTATATAGTATATAGTATATTTGCATGCGCTCTCATTCAATTGAGTGCCGTTTGTAGATAGCGAAACGAGTTTTTTGTGCCAACGCCGGCAAATTTTTGTGATATGAGAATCAGCAGTTTCTTTTCTTTGAATTGCCGAGCATATTCGCAGTTTTCCCAAGACTTGGCCCTGCCCCTCTGCCTCTTGCCCAGCCTTTTGCACTCTTCTTTTGTGCATTTTGGCAACTGTTGACAGTTTGGCCGCATCTTGACTTTTACTTCAGACCATCAAAATAAAGCATGCAGTTTAAAATTAATTTTCAAATTATCTCAATTTGAATTTTAAGTGTCTTTAAATTAATGAACAAATTTAATGCCGCCATGAAAACTCTTAAAGTTCGTTTAACAACAAATTGTTCAGCAATTGCGAACTGTTGCACATCAAAATGATAACGGCACACACACACGCATCCGCAAAAAATAACAATATTAATGTGTCGTATTATGCATACGCCGCGTGTGCCGCAAAAACACAAAAAATAAAATGTATTTTTTATTTAACAAACGCGTTGGCATTTTAATATGTGCGTTAAAAAGTTGTGTCATGGGGCAGAGGGAACTGGGAACGGGCAGGGTGCTTGTTGGTGTGTGGTTTATAGGTTTTTAATAACACTTTTTATATGTCTGACGGCGGCACAACAAATGCTCAACTTAAACCCATCGTTTTGGGCCGCTGGCCCGAGGCAATAAGCCGCAAGTATATCAAGCATTTAATGGCAAAGGATATAAGTCCAAAGCACGGCATATTTACACCAAGATTAAACGCAAGTTTTATTTGTATATATAGAGGTTAATGTCAAACAAGTACGGCAGAACACACCTAAAGATGTTCCAGAAAAGTTATTCTTCTGCATTTCGCTTTCGGGCAATATTGTCACAGTTCCGAGCCAAAGGACGAAATATAATGCTAATAATAAAACTAAATCTAAATAGCATATAAATGTATGCTTTGATCAGAGCTGGGCATGGTCTACACACATGAGAACTATCCCTAAATTCTCATTTCAGGTTTCATAATTATTTCGTAAATATAATGTTTTTGCTGATTTTTACAGGCTAATTTTTACAGGCTGCGACATACATGGTTTAATTTAAATTATTCCAATTCTACACATTTCGAGTAGCGCATGCTGTGCGATGTCTTATGATATATATAAACATATATTAAAAGAGTGCCTGCTTATTTTTGGAATAGCAACTTAAATTTGTTCTTCTTGTCAGCTTTGGGGTCCAGACTACAAATAATAACTGACATTGCAGCTGACTAATAGGGAATAGCATATGACAAACGACTGAAAGAATACAAAAAATGCTGAAAATGTATGTTATTGTAGTTGTAGTAATAGTTGTTATTACTGTTTTTGTTTCCGCCTGGTTCGTGCACTTTAATC